ATTCTTGAAATGTTTCCAGACCACGGTTGTATGCAGTCTGCCTCTGCAGAGATCCTTATTCATAGCTTGGTCACCTCCCAAATAACAGAGTTCCCCCTCTCTGCTGGATGTTGAAGGTGCAATTACAAGGGTGAACTTAGCTAACTAGTTGGTGATGACAGTCCAGCCACCGTGCAGCAACCTTTTCCCTGCACATTGGTGTGGCTCAAGCACGCCCATCCCACTGTACCACTCTATGAGTATATGAGGTCCCTGAGTTCCCTTTGAAGAGCAAATTGTTTCAGACTTCCCAGCTGGTGCTGCTTTTCTGCATGCATTTACCAGGAATGCTGCAGGAGAAGGAAGGGCTGGCACCATACAGCACAGAGCTAATGCACAGCCCATACAGCAGAAAGCTGTGTTAGAGTCTGGGAGTCCTGTTTACACCCCAGCTTGTGAACAGGGTTCAGAAATCAGTTGAAGATGCATCATTTTCCATAGGGGTTGAGCAGCCATCTGCCAACTGTCCAAGCATCTTTCCTGCGACTGTAAGTGGGCACCTCAAATGGCTAGTCTATCTCTGAAAGACCTGAGCCATATGCTAAGTGTGTTGAACGTGCAAGATGAATGTATCCAGGTACTAGCAAGCACAGATGATGCCCAGGCTCAGCCAACAGTAGCTGTCAGCCTTACTGAACATGCCCAGTCCAGCAGCAAATCAACACCTTACACCAGAGAGTCCCAGCCTACTGAAAGCTGAATCTTGTTTGAAGATGAAAGCAGTTTCTAATAAACCCATTTAGAAATGGAGGCTTTTCCCATAGGAATGTGAGGGATTATGGCAGCAGAAGTGCAGTAGTCTCCCATTACTTGGCCAGAGGGGAGGGCAATAAATGTACTGGCTCTCCCCTCTTCTCCACCATGCAGAAGAGTGGTGTTTCTTTTTTTCAGAAAGCTGGTAAACATAGAGTTAAACTTCAAAAAAAAAAAAAAAAACCCTAGACATTTGGCAGCATCTGAAATGCTGGGTCAGCAGGGGCGGAGAGCAGCAAACCTCACTGTTCCATGCTGACAGTAATCAGTAACCTTTCGTAATTAGTAATTCATGGCAGATGAGAGCAGCCTTGGGGGCCTCATACTTTCCATCTGCTGCCACTCACGGACTAGCCCAGGTTTGAGGGGAATAGGGATTTTGAGAGCGTCCTATGTCCTCCCTGGCAAGGGACGGTCTTTTGCCTCCTGTCATAGTTTTACAGAAGTTGGCCGCTTCTGCATGTCCACATGGAGCTGCCTGTGCTGTGCCCTGCGTTACGCCCCTGGGACCCTGCGAGGCTGCAGGAGCAGCCATAGGTGCCGGTGTCACAGGGTACCTGGAGCATGACCCATACTGCTCATGCCTGGCCTGCCCTGTCAGCTCAGGCTGCAGGTCATGGTGCCTTTCTGAGGATGTGTTGATGAAGATTTAAATAGATGTCCACAGTCTCCTGTTAAACCCATCTGTCTTGGTCACATCCAGGCGTGTGGCCTTGTACAGCTTCATCTTTTTGTAGCTAAGGAAAACTTCTTTCACTCAACAGCAGTCAGATCAGAAGTCAGTAAAACCTAAGCATGATGACAGGGCGGCTGGATGGTGCATGTGGGCAGCAGGCATGTAACTGAGGCAGCCACCTTGATCCACCTGGGAGAAGGTCCTCACAGCAATGCTGCGTCTTTCAGAAACACTGCTACCATTCCCCTTTGCCGTGGCAGGAACAGAAACCTGCTTCAACACTGAGAGGGTTTTCCCTTCCATGAAAGGGTGTTTTTCACTGTTTTTTGGACTTTGTTTCCTATGTTGCCTTGTTCAGTATTCTATGAGGTGCAGCTCATTAATCCCAAATGCATGCATCACATGGTGGAGGCCAGGCATGAACTAGTATCCTTACTCTAGCAACACCCCGCTGCTCCTGTAGGAATCACATCTTTGTATCTAGCAGCTAGACAGGCAGGTACAGAGCACACCAATGCTATCCAACCCCTTCTGCATCCCCTATAAAAGCGTGGTACCACAGAATTTAATGATGTTTTTTACAGCTTCAGTTTCCCCACAAAATGGGTCATCCTTCTGTTTCCATTTATGTTTTCATGGAGGCAAGGAGAGGGGGCAGAGAGGGTTGCATCTGCTCTTACAGGGAGAAGTGGAATTACTGTATAACTGAAATAAAGAGTGGTCTTGAGAAGACCATGGGGTGAGTACAGAGGAAAGGTAGAAGAATTGGAGGAAATCTTAGCTACTTGTTCACAAAAAGGAGTTTTATGAATCAGGACATCTGTAACTTGTGAAGGACAGAGCTCAGTAAAATACCTCTAGTAGTTTTGCAGTATTAGCTCCCCTTTTATTGCTAAGCAGAGAGTCTTGGGAAAAGAGATGCCCAATCAAGAGCAAAATGAGGTTTTTGCACAGTGACTTCCTCTGTGTCCTACAGACATCAAACACACCTCACACTTGCAAATCTGTCATTTCCCTCATAGCCCCCTTTCTGAGCGGTGTGGTGTTAAGAAGGGCCTCAGGGTCTCTAAAGCTGCATTTCTTTTTATAGGTGAAACATGAAACATAGGCGATATCCCATGGGCAGAGCCTGTTTGTAATTTCAGATTGTACATTCCTCCTCCTCCCCATGAGCAAAGTCCCTGCAGCCCCTTTTCATCATCTCGGCATCGTTTTTTTTAATAATAAACATGCCTGACCTCTTTCCTCCTTATTTTTTCCCTCACATTAAGGACACACACCCTGAGTCACAGTTTCAGATTTACTGTGCTCAAGGCAGGTGAAAGCGGATGCCCTAGTCCTCAGATTTTGTTTAAGATATTAATGGCCATTGCAGACAGATTGTTCATGCCGTGACATTTTGCCGTGCTGTTGCAATAGCATATGAACATCTTGCATGGAGCCCAGCTAAAGATAAGAAATGTGTTTTGTCTTTCCTGCTTCCTTCTTACCCTCTCTAATGCCCATTTCTCAGAGTTGTTTGAAAACTGTTTCCTCCATCACGCGGTCTCTATCCCACTTTGCTTAAAGATCAGCGATAAAGGTTCGTTACTGACTTTTGCTGTGCTCAGGAAACTCTTTTCTTATAGTAGACATTTCTTAATGTCCAAGTATTTCTTCCAAAACAGTATTTCAATGGCCACTTACACTGTCCTGGTAGAAAACTGCTTAATAAAAAAAATAATATTTTCTTTTGACCCTCAGCATAGGTGATAAAGACAAGGAGTTTTCAGAGCAAACCTCTCACTTTCAAGAAAAACTATTTTCCTGCTGTCTTCAGGCAGGAGCCAGAATTAGTGTAGATTTTAGTGTTTTAAGTCTTGGACTAGATAAAATAAGTAGAAAATTCAGAGAAGATGAGAGAAATCTGGCAATGGCTGGAAATGAGCTGGGTCCCACAGTAGTTTTTTTGCCATCTCTGTTGTATCTAATACTTGGGGTTCATCCGAACTGAAGCTGTGTAAATAGCTGATTGTTTCCATTTGCTTGCATTGCCAAAAAAAGAAAAAAGGATGTATGGAAAATAGTTTAGCTGAAGCAAAATGTTGGTTATTTGACTCAAATTAAAATATTTTAGGTTAAAAACCAAATGAGTAAGATTAATTTAACTTTTTTTAACAGCAACATTTCAATTTTGCTATATAGAAGATTTGTTTTGAAGATGGTTCAGTGAAGTGTTCTGGGAACATTTACCAAAATATTTAAGCAAATTTAGCGTAAATCCATGAAATGTTTCCATCATTGAATCTGCATAGTTCTTAATTATTTTTCTTCTGAAAAAGTTGTCGCCAAAAAGTCTTTCCCAACTCAAGTCTTAACCGTTCACAATTTCATTATCCCCTGCATGTTACTGAAGTAGTTAGAATTATTTCAACTCTCTGATAACAAGTGGGTGGTTTTTGCTTGAGTAGAAGTAGACTTCCTCTGTCATCTCTTTGTAGACTTTGGCTCTGTCATGGGAGTCCATATGTCTTCCATGTGGACTGTGTTTAAATATATAGCTCTCTGCTCTTCTATGGCTTGTTCCCTTACTAGGAAGCCAAGTTTAGAGGCATGTGCTGCGCATGGGACAGAGTTCCTCTAACAGTTATTTCTGTTGGGTCTTGTCAGTGTACCAAGTTTTTATAGTCATTCCTTCTTCAGCTTCCCAAGTAGAATTTTCCTTTTTCCACCCCACCATTGACACATCCTTTGTTTAAGTAAATCACCAAATTAATGAGGTTGGAAGGGACATCAAGAGGTCATTGGGTCCAACAACCTGCTCACAGCAGGGCTAAGAGGCAATGCAAATAGCCCACTGCTCCTAAGAAAACCTTCAGGGATACTTATTTTCTACCCAGGGAGTCAGACTCTGTTAGGATGGTCTGAAGAGGGGAAAGAAAGATAGCTTGGCTAGGAAATATTGTCAATAATGGTATGCTCAAAGATGGGATCCCCATCCAAATGAACACCAGCCTACCCCTCCCGGGGAACCTCAGCCTAGATATTAGCAGTGAGATGGTACTGAAGTATAAGTTACTCTTGTTTCCTTATGGAAGAGGATTGATCTTTGATGCCAGCACTAGGATACACTCACAGAAACCCCGAGTATTGTTTTCTTTTCTATAGAGCCTTATGAAAGAAAAGGTCCATTCATTGAAAACTAAACTAGCTCTTCTGTTCAGCTGAATTTTAACACTTCACCACCTTCACGGTTGCTGTTAGCCAGAGGAATGTAGTCTCTCTTCTTGCAGCTTCTATAGAAACACAATGCTTGGGAATTCATGTTTTTCTCTATCCTGCAGTTTCTTTTCTCACTTTAGAATCAATGTTGGGAAATACATAGTTCATTCAGGATTGTTGTTACAGTTAATATGATCTACAGTTTGCCAGCAGTTCAGTTTTGAATGGAGCTACTAATGAGATTTTGCTGTACAATGCACCGTCTAGCATCTACCTGGGCATTTTAGCCATTGCTGTTGCCTATTTTAACTCTCTGGTGATGTGTATCCAGGGTGATCAGGGAGGAGCAGGTGTTCCAGGAGATATCGGCTTCCAAGGAGACAAGGTAATTGTTTTTCTTTTTTCCATCATTTTTTTCCCCTTGCATAGTAGTATGTGTGGCCACTAGCTTTCTCAGCTCATCTTAAACTATGATGAGCTGGAACTAGCTGCATCCTGCTGTCAGGTTCCCCTTCTTGGATAGTTACTTGGGGCACGCTGTGCCTTTCTAAAACTCATGTCAATATACGGATTTTGTTGCTACTCATAATAAAAACAGTTCTACTAGGGACTTTGTATAAAAGGGGCCATATCTTCATGCAGAAATTGGAAGTGATGGATGGGATTGATGGGGATGGGTGTGAATGTGTGTGGTCCAGCGGCTGCAGACTCAGAGATTTTGTCTGCTCAGTGCAGCAACTTAAACCCTGACCCAGTGAAGCACTTAACACCATGCATAACTTCCAAGCAAATGATTTCTCCCCTGTGACTACAATATGATACTGACTTCAGCTGATTAATGCTGTACTTAGCACTGCACTGGGGCCTACATGGCTCTGAGCCACAACTAACTGCAACAGCTCGTGTTCTTCGGGGCTAAATTCAGCCCCAGCTTTAGCAGAAACATCTCACTAACAGTGCAACTGTCCCAGCTCCTTGCAGGCTGAGTTCAGCCCTTAGAAAGTGCTCCTCTCTCTGCTGCAGAGGAGCTGGAGCCTGGGGAATTGGTATTTTTTGATGCTTTGTTGTGTTTTCTGAAAAAAGGTCTCTCTCTCTCTCAGGGCAGCCAGGGTTTGCCTGGGGTCCCTGGGGCACGAGGGAAAGCAGGCCCCCTGGTAAGTAAGCAAGCGTCCTCTGCTCCCTAATCTCCCTTTCTCCCTTTTCAGTGCCGGCTGGAAAGACAGCTTGGCAGGGGTGTGCTGTTCTAAACAGGAAAGCCAATAGCCAAGAGCCAGCTCACTTTTCTCCATGTTTTTCTGATTTCTGCAGGGAAAAGTCGGTGACAAAGGTCCAGTTGGGTTTCCAGGACCACCTGGCCCTGAGGTATGTCCTACCACCTCCTTCCCACATCTTTCCTTTCTTTGGTGACTTCTGCAGTATCCTTTCTTCAGCAAACCCACACAATAACACCTCTCTCCCGTCTCATTTTGCCTCTGCAGCAGTAGTTATTCAATGTCTGCAGCTTGCCGCCCCACTGAGAATCAGCTCGCTGATGAACACCCATGTGGCATTTGAGAGACTGTTAGAGATGTCTATCTCCTTTCCCCAGGGGAGATTTTTAGTTCTCGAGCCATGTACAGACAGGCCCACATAGGGTTTTGATTAAGAGTCATATGCATATAGCTGTTGCTAATTCATACAGAAAGCAAGAGCCAAACGCTGCCTCCCACGTGGGCACCCAGCCTGACAGAGGGAGGGGATGGTTGCTACCACTTACCATGACACCTGAGCTCTGATACATTTACCAACCCAAAACTGGTGTGTTCTGGGGTCAGAGCCTTTGCTAACGATGGGCAGATGGATTGCTTTAGGACAATGGCACACCAGGGCTCCAGAAATGCTGAGGCAGAAAGAGCTTTGCTGTGCTGTAGGATTTACTGTTATTTAATGAATTGAGGTCCACTTTTGCTCAAAGTGGGAGATGGGGCAAACTGTTCATCTTGTACCATCTGACCACTCTGCGCTCAGATTTCCTGATCTCCAGCTACCATTCCAAGCCTTTTTCTTCCCGATCTTCCAGTGCAAGTCCTATGTAACAGCTTGTTCTGTTCTTGTTCAGAAAGGTCAGTCCCCAAAGATTGTCTCTAACCTGGCAAGAGCCCCAAACTGTCTCCCAGCTACTGGCTAGACTTTGAGGACACTGGCCTTTCTACTCGCCATGTTGTTCTCTGGCCCTTGAAGTTGTTCTTCAACTGCTTTTGCAAGGCAGAACACTCATTTCTTGAATCTTGTATCTCACTTTCCACCTACCCTCCCCTTTTCAGTGCAGGGCTTCACTTCTCCACTAAGGTATGATGGTACATGAGTGGCGACAAGTGGTAGGGAGGACCAAGATGGGGTTCGTGACCCATTCTACATCTCATGGTTTCTTGGTTTTTCCTTCCGCTTTTTGTCATAGATATTGTGGAGGGTTTTTTTCAGTTTTTCCCCCACAAAATACCATTTCAAGTAGAAAAAGACCCTTACTGCCCTTACCAAAAAAATTGTCACATTGATACCTTAAACACAGGACCCAGCAAATTGTCATTTTTCTCCTTCATAAGCAACCAGACAACATCTGTAAGATGCTAGAGAGCCACTTCCAGCACAACTGATGGCCTGTTTTCCCTTCATCAGTGTTCTGATATTTTGCTGGGTCTGGAAGGGCTCTCAGTCGAGTGCTGCCACTTAGCAATCGTTCCTCTTTGTTGCTATTGGAAATGACCACAGATTCCTTTGTTTCCTCAGCGAAGGGCTGGTGGGTGGAAAGGAGTCAATGCCTGGCTGAAGGCGGCAGCTAATGAGCATGTCAGCACCTTTCCTAATTCCTCGCCTGCTTCCCTTTGTCGCTGAGGCGTGCAGTTTGTTTCTTGCAGCAGTGAGATTATGCGCTGACTCATAAAGATTAATTAAAACCCAAATTGCCATTTTTAGCTGTGTGATGACAAGGGAGACCCTCACAGCAATAAATCTTCTAAGAAGATGGACCTAAAGGGAGCTGCCGGGAAAGGCTGCTCTTGAATCAAACCGATAGCGCTGCTCCCATTGTCTTGTTTCGTTCCCTCTAGAAGCCGTGCGGTGGCCCACACACGGACACCGCCAGCACGCAACAAATGTCTCGGCCCTTAGCCTTTAATTAAAACTCTCACAGAGGCTGTCCTCTGAAGCTGGCTGCAAAAGTCCATCTATGCACCCTGACTATTTCTCATTTTCTTCAGGGATTCCCAGGTGACATTGGCCCACCAGGAGAAAATGGGCCTGAAGGCCTGAAGGTGAGTGGAGCAGAGATTGAAGCTCTGTGTGGGGTGGGAAGCAGCCAGGGAAAACAAAGTAGTGGGACGGGGGGAGAGAAAAAGCCCTGGAGATTCCTAAAGATTGTCCTGGCCAGCATTTCAGCTTAGTCTGTTTGGCTTGAGGTCCCTCCAAGTGCGGGGTTTTCTTTTTTCAATTTTTTTTCTGTAACAAAATTGACATTGGATGATGTCCCGTGGCTGTGAAAGAAACTTTCTCATTTTAATTGCCCTTCTGAGATTATGTTTCTATTTTCTGAGTATCTTTTCCTTTGGCTTTTTCTCAGGGAAAGCCAGGAGCACGAGGTTTACCTGGGCCGAGAGGACTGCCTGGACAAGAGGTGAGTGTCCTCAGACCAAAAGCAGATTGGATTTAAAGAATAATTTTCAATTTTGAAGATTAATGCATGCTGAAATGGTGCCTGCGACTTGAAATCCTCCGGTCCCTCTGAATCTGGAAGCAAATACTTATTTATATTCAGTGATCAGAGACCTGCAGAAGAGGAGCTTTCACTAAGTCGCAGTGCTGTGATCTTTGCTTCCAGTCACTGCTGGCATCTGCTGACCCTAAACTCTGCATTGGCTTTTCTTTTAAAGTCTGTTCCCCTGCACCCACACACATACAGAATGGGTGTTAATGCCCTTTTCCCTGCACATCCCCTTGCACAGGCATGCCCTGACCTGGCTTTTGCTTTCTGCTCGTTTTAAGTTTGTTTTCTTTCAACTGTGAGACCTGCAGACTCCAGTCTCTCACACAGGGCAATATCCTTATGTAAAAAGAGCACATAAACTGAAACTGCTGTTCTGCAAAGATTCATTTGCCCCAGCATCTCAGAGCTTGCAGCTTTCACTTATCGTTTCATGTGAAAACTTGAAGCTTCATTCCACTCATAGTCACTAAGAAAGGACAATTGTCATTGATTTTATTGTCCTGGAGCTTCAAATACTTTATAGCACCAGCAGAGAAGGCCTGAGTGCCATCTGTTTATCCTGTTGTAACTCCAGTGACTTCAGTTTAGTTTCTTCTCATTTAGGCCAGTGTAAGCTGTTTGTCCAGAGTCATGAGACATTGTGCAAGTAATATTCAGTGCATGCATAGGCAGGAGCTTGGTCTAATAGCACTAATAATTCCTAACTTTTTCTGAGAACTCTTTTACTTGCTCTGTAAATAGGATTAATGCAAATTAGCTCATTTATTTGCACTGAAACAGGAAAAAAAAATATTCTAGGCAATTTACAAAGGGAATAGAAGCCCTGCATTCCAGGTTCAGGCAGGCATGACCAAGCTGCCTTCAATTTACTCTAGTTAGTGAGTGTAAAAGTAAGACTGAAGACATGGACATGGAGTTTGACATAAGCTGTGCTGAAGGACTTTGAATGTGCACCAGACCACACCACTGTGCCTTTACTGCTGCAGTTACCCAAGCCGGTAGGTCAAGGCTGTGAATTACATCTTCTTTAGAAAGGTGGCATATTGTGGGTGGTTTGTCTGAGCCCGTTGAGCTGGGTTCCTGACTTCCAGTCCCATCTTCAGCCCGCCAGCTCATGCCACTTCATTACCACAGCTGACCACCTAAATGACAACAGCCAGAACTGTGGCTGCCAAGGGCGCTTTTAATTTCTCTCTTGGCAGTTGGTTTTAGACACTTGAGATAATTTTTGTGAAGCTTAATTGAAGGTCTCCTAGAAACTGTAGATCTGATCCTATCACATTAGAAACTGGTGTAGAGCCAAGGGAGAGAACTGAGTCCAGTTGCTGTGTGAGATTTTGAGATAGGTCCATCCTGCTGTATGTGTAGTCCCATTTGAAAGCAAAAGAGAAACCTCCTTACAGTTGCCAAATGGTTCTGTGGGAAATTTTGTGACACTGTTTTTGTGGGGCAAAAAAAGAGAGAAAGAAGAAAGAAAGAGTAGAGCACTCTACAGCATATCCCTTCCAAATCAAATGAAGCAGAGCCATGTGAGCATGTCCAGGGTACCCTATGGGCCAAATCCAGTCTGTGATAGGCCCAATCACCTGGTGTTGACTTTGGTCATGTTTTGGATGACCATCCCTGGCAGGGCTTGACTTTAGATTTTTTTCCTGAAATGGGGAAGGAAGATGATGAGATGATGATGATGAGCTCAGAGATGCTGAGCTGCCTGCTGTAAGATTCAGAAGGACTCAGTTGTTAAAATGTGACAGCTGAGCACACAGACTGTGTTTAATGGCTGCTCATACTGCAGGCCTTTTGTTCTTGCTGCATGATGAGTCCAAATTTTGTCACTACTTTGCCTTTTATTTTAATTTCTTTTTACCTCAGGGAGATGAAGGACCCTTAGGACCACCAGGAGTCCCTGGTCCAGAGGTAGGTTTCAGTCGTTTACTTAATTACTACCAGCTCTGTTGACCTTGCAACGGACTTGTAGTTAAATTCATATAAAGCTTCAAACCTCCTGGTTTGGAAAGTGATATGCCCTTCTAAGAAATATTGTATTGTGCAGGGCTTGGTCCAACTGCTTGATCCAGGATGGCTGAAAGTCAAGGAAGTGTCTTGCACAGGGTGTTGAGTGGGACTCTAATTTTATAACTTGCTTAAAGTCTCAGACCTTAAAAAACCCACTAACATTTAAATAGTTCATCCTCAAGATAAAGCACGTTGACTGGAAACCATGTCTGTAACCAGCACTGATGTTTCCTCCTTGATTTATAGTATTTTTCAATGAGTAGAGGGAAAAGCAAGAAAAAAGACCAGACAGTGAAACAGAGTCCTCTTTGACCTCTGCATCACTCTGAACGCAGTGATGTGTCACCGAAACACAGTTAGAAGCAGCAAAAAGAATATTATCATATCTGTGAGCTTGCCAGCTCAGAATTTTTTAATGTTTATGTACATACTTGTCATTGGAGGACAGTAAAATATCTTGAAAACTGGTAACTGTGCTGGAGCTTCTAGTTGGATCAGAAAAAAAATGTTTTATTTTGCATTTCCTCCACAATTCTGGTAGACACTTCTATTCCTTTCTGGAGCAACATAATAAATCCAGTTACTCCAGTGCCTGGGACAGCACCATCAGTGTTCTTCTAGCCAAAGGGAAGGCTCAACATGAACCTTTCAGTCTGCAGGTTTATTTCTGCTTTTCTGAGCCGTAGCTGTGAATGTCAGCCTGGCTTCCCCCACTGTAGGGACAGTCCTACTCCCAGATTCTCTCCGGATGCCGGGCACGGAGCTCATAAGAAGCTTATATGGCTGAGTCCCTGCCAACACTAGGAAAGTACCATCTTTGAATGCTCCGGCTGCTAGTGTCCTTGCTGGCATTGCTACAAGAAAACTGCTGGAAGTAGAATAAATCCAGCTGAGTGTGGCACACAATAAACTAAAGGCCAGCAACAAAGCCCTCAGCTTGGTTGATTATAGTCCATGCACAATGTTTCTGATGTGATGTTTAAGTACTGGAATCAAGCTGGAGAGTCAGAAATGGGCTGAAACTTGGAGTAGCTGTCTAGGTATGTTCCTCATGGATCAAACCCCATGTCGCTCGAGACACAGAGTTTTCCTCTTGTGTTGCCTTAGCCTCAGTAAGGACTGCTACATCTCTGGGACCCTGAATTCGCTGGGAGCATTGCCTGTAAGCTGCACCATATAGGTTCACAGACACACTGCTGTGACCAAGGGCAGTTGCAAGCTTTTTATGTTTATTGTTCTTCATGTGTTTCAGGGTCGATCTGGTCGGAAGGGATTTCCGGGAAGACCTGGTCCTGATGGTCCAAAGGTGAGGAAAGAGTTTGTTCATGATCAGAGAAGCAGTGGGTGGAAGGGAGGAAAGGAAGAGGGAAGTATCTTTTCTCAACTTTACCATGCTCCAAGCCTAGGGTGTTCCAGAGAGAACAAGGGGAACTGAGGATTTCTCTTTTTCTCTGAATTTTGGGGTCTCTGCTTCTGCTTGTTTTTTTCAACAAAAAGAACGATGGTGCATTTTTTAAGCCATGTGCTCTATTATAAACAAGCGTGTTCCTCCTTTGATATTAACCAACCCCCCCTCCATCATCTCATCTTATTTTCCATTGCTTTTCCACATTTTTGTTCTAAAACAATGCACATCATTCCTATCTTTGCTGCCTAATTAGCAGCAGGAGCCATCCCAGGGCAGTCCACTCCACAAACCCACACTCAAAAGGAAAGAGAAAACCCAACAAAAACAACCTCTTCAAACAGTAAATAGCAAAAATGTGGTCTGGCAACACATCTGGAGTATCTGCCTACTGAGAAAATACAGCTGCCGTCACCCGGAGACAATACTGGTTAGCGGTGAGTCTGGCCTCTGGATGGCCTGTCCAGGGGCACTCCGCCGGCCTTTGAGTGCTGCCATGGCTGCCCTTATCCCTGGTGGGTTTGAAATTCTTCTCCTCCTCCTGCTTTTCTCTTCACCCCTCATTTTTCTCATTCTCTGAATTTCTCTCATCCTGCACTGTGATTTAGCTCATGTGGATTCTTTCTGTGGTTTTCATGTGGATGCTCCATGTTACAGTAACATGCCTATGCTTGAGATTTTACAAGAGTAGAATCAGAGTGCAGCATTGCCTGGGAATATTTGGGTTGTCTTTTATTCCTGTGACACTTCCACCAGCAGGTGAATTTTCTGGATCCCTTCTTCTTGGTCATTCAGGAACTACACCTTCCCATGGTGTCCACACTCTTGTGTTCCCTAGATGCTTCTCAAATCCTTTGGTTAATCATGGTCCTTTCCTACTCTATTCCTGCTGATGATGTGTTTCTGTCTTCATCTATCTGTTTTACTTGGGTCAGAAACACCCCAGCTTCAGCAACATTCCTGATGAGAATTCATGTCTTATTAAACATGGAGACAAAGCAACCAGGACTAGGCTATGCTACAGGAAAGCAAGCAGCTTACGTTTCAGTGTCTGAGTTTGGTTTTGTGAAGGTTATTTTACCACAGCAGAACCAGCTGCTTTTGGGGCATTTCTGTCCAGAACAGTGAGTCTTTGCTCCATGTTTGTGTCAGCTGTGTTTCTTGCTTTGGATTATCTTTCAAGTCACACTGGGGTTTGTAAGATGTTGTTTCTTGCAGTTTTTCCGCAATTCACACACAGCAGCCCAAATCATGGGTGCACAAAGAATCATGTTGTACTGAGGGTCTGAGTGGGAGCACCAAGTAACATGTGTGCCTTGTCTCTCCTTGTCCTGCAGGGTGAGCCAGGAAACCATGGCCGACCAGGGAAAGTTGGTGAGCAGGTAAACTCTTTGTTTTCCTTGTCTGTTTGATGATCTGCTCTGTACAATGTCTACTGGATGACCAGGGTGCAGGCAGACAACAGTGGCCAGGTCATTCTGGCCACCTCAAACCTGTCCATAGTCCTGGTGCTCCAGCTGGGGTGCTCTTAGTCTGGCTGAAGCTCTTGGTGAACAGCACTGACAGTGACCATGGTGTCTATTCATTTCTGTGTATTCTTCTTATCCCTAAAAGGGCAATTTCAAGGCTTTGCCTGTGCAGGTTTTAAGGGTAGGTAGCATCACTCTGCTTTGGGTGCTCTGCTGCTTTGACTCCCACTGGATTCTTTTGGGAGCAGAGGAGATGGCAACTGAAGAAACCAGGCCCTGGGGGAGAGAGGCACTGAGCTGTGTTTCGCTGTACCACAAGAGAGAACGTTCTGCTGGGGTAGCAGGGGACATGCATCATCCCTGTAGGCTTCAGGGGAACCACAGTCATCAAGGAAAAAGCAACAATTGTTCCCATGTCTCTGTGATTGAAACCAACCAACTTGTCCACCACCAACCCTGAAATTGCAGCCACAGAGCCTCCAACGTGTTCTGTGCATTCGTTCATGACCACACTAAACTGGCTGCAGCAGCTGGCCCTGGCAAAGAGGGTGTTGCTTCTCAGCACAGCTGTCCTTCCCAGCACTTTCCCTGCCGAATGGTCAGCAAGTTTGGTTTGGTTTAGCTTGTCAGCCTCTCTGGCTCTTCTTTCCCCTGTATGCAACAGCTGGGTGTTGCTTCTTCCATGGGTTTCTGACCAAGCAAGTCCACAAAACCAGGGTCGATCCTTTTCAGTACCAGCAATCTGATGAGTCTCAGTATATATTAAGGATAGGTATTTCTATTTGGAAATTAGAGCTGTTTCTACATTGCTTTTAATAATTTACTCCATGAAGAGCAACAGCTGAAGAAGCAAAGTTGTTCCAGACATGTGAGTTCTAGTCGCAGCTTTATCAGATTCTGCACAATCTCAGGCAACACCTTCCAGTGCTCTGTGCCTCCATTTCCCCTTCTGCAGAGGGCATGAGACAGCTCTGAACAGTGGTTAGCACAATGCCTCCTGTTTTCAGGTGGCACCTACAGATATTGTTGTATTACAGTTAAAAACGAGTATTTAGAAGTGCTTTGAGATCCTTAACAAGATGTTGTCCTGGAAGGACAAAGCATCATTAGGATTATTATTCTTTAACATCCCTCAGGACTGACCTTGGATGAAAACTGTATGCACTGTTCACCAGAAAGAAAACACAGCTGGCCTCTGCTGACACTGAAACCAGCACAGTGGTATGAAAGCTGCCTGTATTATTCTTAGTCAATTAGTCTCTGTCTAGAAATATCACCCAGAAAGAATTTCCATTTCTGTACCAGTCAAGTCATTAGAACAAAAATGTTGCACCAGATTAGTGAGAAATAACCTCCTTTTCCATCACACCTTTGCTGAACAATGCTGGAGTGTTGGATTTTCATTCCTCCCTCCACCTAAGCTTCAGCGTTTGGTGTTGGGGCTGGGCTGGTTTTTTGCAGAGCTCTGAGAGGTTGGGGTACCAAGGTCACTTGGCACTAAAAGACACCTTCATTTCACCCCTGTTTTCTCTTGTGGAGGCCTTGATGTTTTCTGTGGTCAAACTTTCCAAACTTGCTGCTCTGCCCTCCATACGGGTTCCCTCTGAGTGGAAACCCTCAACATAACAGCATAAGAAAAGATCAGCCATCCAACTCATAGGAGTTCTCTTCCCTTTCTTAGGGACATCTGTTTAGGCAAACATGGGAGTTTCTGTAAGGTTTCCAGTGACACTTGAGCTCTCATTGGGAAAATGATGTTTTAAGCCACAGGGCAGTCCCTGGTGCATTGTTTTTCCATTGCAAGGATGCTGACTTGGGAAGTTCATTCATAAGATGCTTATTGTCTTCATATGCTGGAAGGACTCCAGCTGCTGGGCTCCCCTGTACCCTGGAAATGTGTGATTTAACCCTTCCTTGCCAGTAGATGGAGGCAGAATATGAAGAAGAATACAGGGCCTCTGGCCCGGGGCCACCAGCCTTCCTATTCCAGAGCTGGGAATGCAGAGCAGGAGGATGCCACCGAAAAGTCTGTGTTGAAGGTCAGACAGCCCTGTGAGAGAAGCAACACCCTGCAGCAGACAGGATAGCAAACTGGGGAAGGGTGCTGCAAGCCCATGGACCCCCCCTGCTCTGCACTAGAGACTGAAAATATCCATAAGGAGCTGTGTCAGCTGAACGAGGCTAATGTTGACCTACATCCTTAATGGGAATGAGGAGGTCCTGTCACAGCAGCAACAGCTTTCTGAATCCCTTCTCCTGTACAAGAAGTGATAGCCCTGCTCACTCACATGGTGATGTTAGGGTCAGCCATGCACCCATCGCACCATGCTGGGAAGGGCAGTCACTCCACAGCCCCTTGGGGGTATCTCTTCCCTTAAGGGAGAAGCATGTTGTCCCAGTATCAGATACTATTCTAAAATACCCTGTCAATGGAAACCAGCGCCATCGGTTATCTCCCTAATGTATTTTCCTTTTGGTGATCTTATGAAGGAGGGATGTGCTGGAATGTCAGTTTTGCAGGTGGGTTCTGGAGCATCTGGGACATGTGGAGATACGTATCAACTTGACTAAGGTCAGATGAGTCGCCAAGAACCGAGCAGTGAATTGCACTGGCGTTTCCCACGGCTTAGAGCAGCGCCTTTCCCAATGCATTTACTTTCTGCTCCAGAGCATCTCTTTCTGAGCTGCAGACCTCTCATTCAGAGATTTGCAGGTACTGTGCCGAATGCAGCCTCTTTGATCTGACAAGGTGTTTTGTCAGCATGTCTCCACCTTTCCTTCCGTCGCTCCTCAGAGGGCACTGGGAACCCAACACAGCCCCAGGGTACAGCTGAGCTCCAGTGCACAGGGGGTTAAACTGCATGGCTAAACCGCATGGCTTTTCTTTGCGGGTCAGAGCGTCCTCCCTTAAACTGTGATATTTACTGTTTTACTTTCCCTTTCTTTCATCTGAATGGGAGGATTGTACATTTACTCCCTCCCGTCCTTTGTCCCTGGTTTGTTTTGTTTTGAGTTCTAGCGAACCAGTAAAACAGAAAGGCCATGATCGGTTCCTGCTGGGAGCGACTGGCGGTCCCGTCCCTGGGAGACCCTGCTCACGCTGGGCTCGCCTTTCGGTTGTTTCTCTCAAATGGGCTATGATTTATGCAAGGCTTCATTGCTGACTTGCTCTCTGTTGATGCAGCCAAGAGGGGGGGCTTAATTATGACAGGGCTGGACAATAAATAGGGTAAGCCAGACAGGAGTTAGGAATTACAACCCGCCAGTCCCCCCCCTCTTTCCTTCCCCCCAAGCCCCCAGCAACTTTTTAACAATCTCCATCCCTTTTCCGCCATGCCCTTGGCTGGGGAATACAGCAGACTGAATCATGAGCGACATGCTGAACTCCCCGTCTAATATAAATGTTTTACATTCTTTCCTGTATACTGTGGGCCTTTATCCGGGCAGCCACTGCTGCTGGGACTTCACGTGCATCATTACACGCACTGCCTGGAGTTGTGTTTGATGCAGGGCTTCTTTTCAACCCTGGGCACCTGGGAAAAATACGTTATGCCGCAGCCATCTTAGTGTAATGGCCACAATTCACGTCTGCCTTGATTTAATATTTGCCACCGGTGGCTATTCTGATTCTTAAACCCTAAATCTTTTGCTTCCTGTGTTCTTTTTAGTGTCTATCCCATTTTGGCTGGTGAAGAATATCATTACCCAATCTCCCCCAGTTGTTTCATATACTCCCAATAATTTACCAAGATTTATTCTGCCTAGACATATCTATCTTGTTTTGTGTCTGCTTGCAGACACAGCAACGTTAGTTAATTTAGCCCAGAGCAGACAGTATTGGCTGCAAACACTACAGAGCTACTATGCTGGAAGCCTGGCCACGTCACAGGGTCGCTGCTCTGCCATCTCACTTTGGTCTTCCCTCTACCATGGTCACACCATGGGATGCTCCTCCTGCTGGGTACACAGGGAGCAGTGACATCTTCCCTTGAGCAGAAACCTGATGTACCAGTGCAGACAGAATTTTCCCCAGTTTTGGAGTGAAAACCAGGCCAGAAGTTTTGGCTATGCTCCCCCTCCCTCCTGACGTTTGCCCATGCAGCAGGTGCAATGTTTGCCTCTACTCTGCTGGCGTTGGCAGTGCTGGCAGGTTTCTGCACAAGCTGTGATAACTAATGGCACATCTGTGACAGCAAGAAGGGTCTCAGGAGGGTGTTGGGTTTGTGGGCTCCTTGACATGCTGCAATCGGTGCTCTGCAAACCATCTATAGAGCACCACCAGGTCAGCTGGGAAGCACAACTAGCGCATCGCGCTTCATGACCCAGATTCCTTGGAGACTTTTTAGGGTGGGAGCTGATGCTGCTGTGGACAGTGTATTAATCAGAATTATCAGAATGTATTAATCAGGCCTTCAAGCCTGAGTTTGGATATGCAAGGCTGCACCCCAAGTCCCTCAGAAGTGTTTTTGAAACAGTCCTGTTCTGAATGGTAAGAACATTTGCTGCAAGAGCCGGGATCTCCCTTCTGCAGGGACTGACCTAAGTAACCCAGAAACATCCTCCCAGGGAGAAAGAGAGTTCTGCAGTTTTTCTGAGAAATTGGAAATGAAGGAACAGATTTATTCTTTCTTGCTTTATTATCATATTTTTGCCTAGCAATGCATTTCCTTGTTTCATCTTATTGCTTGCCATTCTCTCCTCTGCCGTAACATTTGCGTTCTTCGTGGCCTTGGGCTACTGGAAAACTTCAGTAACTGGATATAGTTATCAGCTATGTATCTGCACTTGTGTCTAATTGAAAGGATAATTGATTCAGCAGCCTTCAGCAATGCCACCCAGTGGCAACCTTGCAGATGTAGATATGGCAAATTTGCCTGCTGTCCTTTTGGTTCCTGCTACCGAGTC